TAACTATGCCACATTACAAATAAAACTTATAATAAGATGGTGCACTTTTAGGTTTTCTATTTAAAACACTAAGCGTTTTGGCAGTTTTTTCATATCATTATATGAAAAAAACGCTACTTAACATAGCTTTGTCATTGGTCCATTTTAGGGCAGAATCAGCTCCATGTGTTCTATAAGCTGTTGCGATGTACATTCTTCAACCTAGGATTTTACAAATTAACCTAGTAATTGATCTAATGTCTATTTCTGATAAGTTTATATTAGGTATATTTCCAGAAAACTAATTTCATTTTATATCTCTATACTCTCAAGTAAAATCGAATATAACTGTTGCTTGATATCAAGTTGGCCAAGATGGGTATCAAACATCATAATGCTAATTCTAGTTAATTCACCCTAAAGCCAGACCTCATACTCTAATTACTAATCAAGTTTCAATTTTTTTTGTACCCTTGAGTAATACTATTCAGTTGAGCTTAAATTGGAGGATGTCCGACTTTGTGAAACAGAAGTAAGAAAGTAAGCTTTAATGATTTTTTTAAATTATTTTTTAGTAAATACGCAGAAATAATACAATATTGTAGGGTTTTTGCTCAAATTAGAATATCGAGTGGATGTAACCAATTACGAGTGTTATTTCATGAACAATTGCATCTCCATTTTTTGTACCAAGAGATAGTTTACTCATTGCTTTTTACGATTATTTTATTATAGATATTATTTCAATAATTATGTTCGACTTTAAAACTCATAACTATAGAGAAGTTAATCTCAGACTGACTTATTAGTAGAACATTCGAATAAAGCTATTGGCGGTATGACTGAGTTGGATAGGTATCTTAATAGTACCAAAATGCTCAATGAATTTTTAGTATTGGTTAATCATAAACAAACTAAGGTTATATTTTATATTACTTAAGTTGCACTGAATATTGGTTTATTTTTTATTAACGATTTAAGCAACCTTATCGTATACAGGGTGTACCAGAACACGACGTCAAGTGTAACGGGATAATAGTGATGATCGTAACTATTATCAGAAAGAGTATAAAAAAATACATTGGCGAAAATGTGACCTCTTTTTAGTTCTTGTGATATATGTCTATCAGTTTTGTTAACTTAAACTTCGGATTCGGGATTCTCAAAGTTTATCAATTTTAGAACTGTAACATTTTTAGTTCAGGGTTTATTTTTAAAAACTTCGCCAAGTGTGTCAATATTTCTTACTTTGGTCATAGAAATGTTATGTACGGCTCCAATTTCAAAATTCAAATGAATAACTTTCATGAGAATTACCCACAATAACCAAAAATTTTCACGTCTTTACCAAAGCCCTAGGTTGCACTTAAAAGCTCATAATTTTATAACTGAGATTTTTTCTTGTAATTTATTTTTTAATGATACTACACCATTAAGATTGTATGTGGAATTTAGCACATGACAATTTATACGTATTTCGTAGTATTTCATCTGGTTTTACACCTTCAACGACTAATTTCCCTGAGCTGCATGCGGAAATACAATAGATCAAGCCGCAACTGAACACATGTTTGTATGCAGTATTTCATTTATCTGTCTCGGTTAGATTTTAACTGTCTGAACGCGTTGAGCATTGTTCCTAGTTTAGGAACATATGAGCTGTTGAAGCTGTTTCTAGCTAGTAGCTATCTCTGGCTGTTATGTGGTACTGATGCACAAAAGATGCACACACTGTACAGACACGTTGAACTTACATAATGAGCGTTCATATACGGCGCCATAAAGCATTTATAAACGTTTATATAATGTGCCAGGAATGAATTAATGTGCACGCACGGCATAGTTCGAGTTTTCATCATGAGGAAGCGAAGTTTCGCTAGCAGATTCTTGGTTTCCATTATAGCGTCGTGTCTGATCAAACGCGGGTTACATACACCCTTAAAACATTATACTTGGCGAGGAGGAAACTCGCTTATTAACGGGACACATAACTCTTATCAACTTTGATTTGAAAAGTCATTTTTAAAATCATTATTGAACATAATTTTTTTTTATATAATTTAAGATGATTAATGGAAGCTTTCCGATTTACGTTTTGATTTTTGAACTATTTTCATTTTTTTGTGGAAGGATGAGTTTTTTTATAATATAGTAATTTTCACACCTATCGTGATATGGACAACGACTGTAGAAAAAAAAACTTCTGTCTCTCGGTTTGCATGTGTTGGTATGCCATCGATTATTATAATTATATCTGAGTTCTTATGTATTAACTAATTCGGAACATACTTCGGAACATCTTCAAATACATTTTTTTAAGTAATTTATTTGAGCATATTTGAAATTTTATCACGTTTTATGAGGTAAGTTAGAAAGCAAGGATTTTATATTACTATTTAAAATATAAATAAATACATGTAGGTGCTTCTATTTATATTTCTATTCATTATGGTATAAAAGCTGAAGCAAAGTTGTATGCCTCATATACCATTATCATTTATTTTACGATTTTTCCCTATCCACTAATGATGACATAAATGCATATATTGAAATTTCAAAATTTCTAATATATCTTTATTTATTGCTTTCTTCCTCATTTTTAAACTATGTAATTATAATATTCAATATTCTTTCAAATTCAGAATCTGAACACATTTTCCTATGATATTTTTCCTTAGATATATATATATATATATATATATATATATATATATATATATATATATATATATATATATGACAATCTGTCAGTACAAAATATAAGTTTTTATATTTAACATGAATTATGTATTTCAAATAATCTTGAAACTTACAATTAGTACTTAAAACTTCTTTTTCAAACAATATTACTTGCAACGTAAACTAGAAGAACATAACGTCTACATTTTCGTCCTGTTCATTCAATTTTTCAATTTTAATTAAAATTACAAATTTTCTTATAGAGAAGTTTACTTTCGCTATTAAATAAACTTTTTGATATTTTTTCTCGACGTTTCAAGTCATTCTGAATTGGTTAGAACTAAAATTGGCAAAAGTATGTGAGTGCATGTGAGCCAAAATTTGACCTTTAGGTAATATTTGACCTTTTTATAGCTTTGTCAATTTGAGAAAAAAACTTAAACCCACTGGATGAACCTCGATAAGTACTTAATTACGTTTGTTAGTTCTTTATGTTTTTATTAAAGCGACTTCAAAAAGCTATTCGAAACCTATTACTTTGGAATCATGTTAATTAGTTTTTGATACAAATCAGTCGGGCTCTTTGTTAGTTATTAGATGTCAAAAAATATTTTTGACGATTTTAATAAAACTTTGTAGAGCCATTCATGGTCTTTCAAATATAGAACATTTCAAAATATAATAGATCAAAGAAAATAGGTTTAATTGCAAAAAACCATTGAAATTCATTAAAATGTGTAATACTAAAGCCTATCTTCAATGTTACCAGAATTAAATATTATCATTAAATTTTTAAATTGTAGTTGCAAAATCTTTTCGAAAAGTTCACCCAACTTGCTCTAACACGAAGACAAAATGTCACTTCTACGCAGTTGTATTTTTAAATTATAAATCTATGAATTTTTTAATTGAGGTAATAAAACCGTTTTGTGATGAACTCTGAATTTATCACTGAATAGAATTTTCAATAATTTTATACATCCAATTTAAGATAACTTGGCACGCTTTGTTGCGGTATCAAACGTATTATATCATGCAATTTCAACACTACAGGTATCAAAGCAAAATGCACTCCTAAGTGAGGGAGATTTGCTTCAAATAATTCACTTGCTCACGATTTTGAACGTGATATTCACTTTGATAACATATGTGCGCTCTACTTTCGTAATAAAGCTGATAACATATAAATCTCATAAATTTCAAGTTTGATCTCTATGCACTTTATGCCACTCCTAAAACTGATTCGAAAATTTATAACTTCATACGGGAGTATGAATCTATTTAATGTTAGTAATACGTGCATAAAATTAAAATTTTACCCTTTTTTGGGATGCAACATTCATTTGAAATTAATTACTGATCGTTATAAAATATCTATGAAAGCCTTTATCTTATGAAAGCTTAAGAATTAGTAATACTAATTTACAGAATACATTCTCATTATTGAAAATGTGTGAATGCACAAATATCTAACAACTTATTATTGCGACAAAAGAGCAAACAGAGCTAAAACATTAAGAGCTTCTTTGCACATTAATAGTTATCGGAAAACTCTTCAAATGAATAAATTATCCATTCATTATAAATTTCATAGTAGTGAGACAGATTAAAGGCATTGTTTAATCTATAAGTTTTAATTAATTTCCAATGTTGTATAAATGCATTAAGGTTTTGCGCGATTACCCATGTATTGAGATCAATTATTGTATTTAAATATTCTTTTTCAATATCAAACAGTAGATATTTATTTTCTAAAATCTAGATCACAGTATGTTTTCAAGTGAAAATGTTTCCCGACATTTCTGTAATTATCATTAAAAAGGCATGATCACTAAGTTGGCTTATGATATGAATGACTTACGGTAATTTTTGTATATTTTTACGTTACAGAGGCTACTGAGATTTTTGCATTCCTTGAATGGATGTATGTGTTACAATATTAATATAAGTTACAGTACAATATTTTGTCGAAGATTTCGAGAACAAGGATTAACCGATTTGAATAATACAAAAAGCATTCGATTTGACTAGTTTATGGCAAAGCCAGGTTCAGTCTTTTCGAACATATGAAGCAAAAAGACAAAAATACTACGGCGCGTTCATTTATGAACATTCAAAATGCATTCGATTTGTATTAAATGAGTGAATATTTAATTACATTTTTACGGAGGAATATTTAATTACATTTTTTTTCTATCGATTTCTGAGTTACGTAGCATAAA